CACAAACCAGATGAAATATGCTGTCACAAGCAAATGAGAAAAGATTATTGACCATACCTTGTTGCTACGTTGTCCCAAACGCTTTCAGTGTTGTTATTTGTGCAACGAAGTTCAGTATTGAGTCATTTTTCCAAACATCTTCATTTGTCCTTGGTTTGGACTATCACAAGCTAGGTCCATGTTGCTATCCCAAGCAACCGAGTCCAATGTTACAACGTTATCCCAAACGTCTTCGTTCGTCCTTGGCGTGGAGCTGACTATCCCAAGCCAGGTCCACGTTGCTATCCCAAGCAATCGAGTCCAATGTTTCAGCGTTATCCCTAGCAACAGTGTCAGAACGTTATCCCGATCGGTTAATTGACAGGTATCTGATAGTGACGCCCCTTCAGACAAAGAGGCCTGCATGCCATTTTCTAATTTTGGTCGGCGACGAGAGCAACCTTCAGGCGACCGTCGGTCGGTATCTCGTTCGATAATGCACATCTACCTTCTGTCCTGTTTGCTAATTCTAAATGTTCAGCGGATCCTCGACACTGCACTGCCGTAGCACGTAAACGAGGCGCGCCGATTAACGTCTTGACGGTTGGGCACGAGAACAAGGAATGAAGGTTTATAGGCGGTAGGGATGTTCGATACGATCCGATATTTAGAAGTATCGATACTTTTGCTTCCTATACACGATATTTTGGATCGATATTTTTATATACGCTACTTGGGTGTATCGATACATTTCACGGGTACCTATCGTTATCTTTCGATGCGGACTGTGTCAGAAATAGTGACTAACTTCAGATTACTTTTCTTCTTTGTTTCCTATCGCTGATGCTACTCAACTTCACGACCTCACATAATTTATTTTTATTTCAGGGTTGCCATATTAGGGGGTTTTTCCCCAAAAATCAGGGGAATTATTATTTGAATGGGGAAGATTTTGGGGATATTTTTTTAGTGGAGAGGTATTATGTAAAATTTTATTTTATTATAAAATTGCCGGTTCAAAAAATTGAAAATTTGACCTTTCGAGGAGCTTTCAAAACGTTTTGAAAGCATTAAACTTTTAGCTGTCCCAAATATCCTGGACCCTTGTTTTAAAGGATTGCACTTTAAAAGTCCAAATATGCAGTCACTTACCTAAATCAGTCATTTCAGTTGCGCAAGAAGGAAATAAATACTGAAAAAGCAGGGCAAAATCATATTAATATTGTTGAAAAATCTGAGTGTTTGGGCCTACCATGAAAACTGGCGCAAAATCACGCACATAAATATGATAATACTAAATTAGATATTGATCTTGAACAACTGTCTTCAAATAGTCATACCATAGCCCTAAACTCGAATCCCTTTTTATACTGGAATAATAATAATAATAATAATAATAATAATAATAATAGCCTTTATTTAATCTGGCGGGTGTCAGCTAAAAGCTGCTTTTCATACCAACCAGGACCAAACAAAATTATAATACAAAATTTGGGGAGATATAAACAATGTTGAATAACAATAATGAAAAATCTATTATAACAAGAGTAGGCATTTTTTTAATTTAAAAAAAGAATCAGATACAGTCACAGATAACAGATACACCATTACATAAATCAAAAAACTAAATGATATAAGGAATGATATATTTTCAAAAACATTTTTTTTACTTTTACCCTAAAAAGTGGAACAGATAAATAGCTCCAGTTCTTCCTCGGAAATATTTAAAGAACTGGCTAATAAATATCTATCTATTGTTGGCACGACAGTTCGCTCAGAGAGATCCTTTTCTGAAGCCGGAAATACTCTGCCAAAGCTGAAACATTTACAGTTGAACGAATGTCAGAACTATTATTTTTACATTCGCTGGGTGCTGAAGGCTAGAATTTCTAAGATTTTGAACTTTGAGTTACTTGTAATATTGTTTTTTAATACCTTTTGCTTTATATATTTTACGTTTAAGAAGCATATCTGTAATATGTAGTATATTTGTTTCGTTTAAATGTTAAATAAATAATGATTCGTTTTCTAATAAATATTTTTAATCTATTCTAATTAGTGAAAGTTTTTGACAATCTCGCCATGTACTTGAAAAAAGTAAACATTATTTTGAGGGTTGTAGAAAAAACTTCGATTTTCTGCAGAGTGTGTTCTGTATCCAAACGTGTGCACGCATTGAAATACGGGCGGTTGGATACTATTACGAGGATACTACACTATGTATTCTAGATATTTACTTCGACGAGGACGGAACATAACTCTGCATTTATATAATACTGGATATTAGTTTCTCCTGGTTTTAATGGCACAATTAGCTTTTCATCATCACTATCTTTTAGTAAATATGTCAAAACGTTTTAAATGACTATAGTCCAGAGGTGTACTGCACTCACTTTTCGCAGAAGTCACTTCAAACACGATTTTAGAATACATTTCTTTTGTTAAAACTGATCACGACGTACTGCAGTAGCCATTGATTACAAATAATATAATGCCTAATATCAAATTAACTTAACAAGCTTGCACGCACCCGCTCTCAAACCTTTCGTAAGACTGATGCGCAGCGAAGGCAACACGGTACCGGCGAAGAGCCAGTTACAACAGGTCATTTTCGATATTCACCGCGACCCATTTATTTTTGTCAACATACACCGGCGATTCTCCGAAAGTATAATGATATTTATAAACCGTTCGGTCTTTGGTGTATGTCGACACTCACCGGTGAATGTCGACATTCACTAATTTAGGACCGTCACAGTAACATACACCTTAGGAAAAACCATTGTTATACATGGGAAATCATTTCTTGGCAACAGCGCATCGGCTCATCTACTTTCATCGCTATTCGTACATATTTCCTACCATTAATGCGCGTGCCGTCGCCAAGTACGATAAGGGATTCATGACTCACTCTGCGGTTGGGTTTTGTGTAGGAAAGGTGTGTCTTTATTTAATCCAAAATATCTTAAAAATGTACTCGCAAAAAGAAAAGTTTCGAATGATAGAATGGTAAATCCAGAATAATTCAGCACGCGCGGTTGTTGAATTATTTGCGGTACGCTTCCCAGATCGGCAACGGTTTCACGACAACGGTTATAAATACCTACGAAAAATTCAAGAGGGTGGACTGCTTACATAAGTGCCATAGCTGCATGCACCCTGAAGGTTGGAAACCAAAAATTAGCGAGAAAAGGGAGAAGATCGAAACTGCTGTTTCTGCCGCTGCAGAAGTATCTGAGCCATGCTCAAGCAGAAAAATTGCTGAAATGGTACCAATTGCCGATTTCACACCCAGAACAACAAGAAATATTTTGCATCGCAACGGCTATCATAGCTTCAAGATTGGAACGGTTCAAGAAATATTTCCTTTAGACAAATACCGTCGAATGGAGCTTTGTGTTCCTGCAATTAGGCAGCTTGGCATTGATCTCGCTAATATTTGGTTCCCAAGATTGATTCCCGGCGCATAATGAGGCGATCGTACACACTTACCTTGAAAGTGTGTTCGGCCACCGGATTATTGGCGGTAACGGAACAATAAAATGGCCTCCTAGATCACCCGATCTATCGCCCAATGATTTTTTCTTGTGGGGTTATGTGAAAAGTACTGTTTACACTTTCAATGAGAGAGCAGACAATTTGCATAACCTACAGTTGAAAATCGTTGAAGCGCTCGGGCAAATACAGCCTTCTACCCTCTTGAGAGTTCGTCAGGAGTTTTATAACCGCCTGACATACTGTTCATTGAATGAAGGAGACGTTTTTGAGCCCCAGCTGTGAAGGACCATTTGAAACATTTGTGTTCATTATTGCGTTTTATTTTTGAGAACTTATTTTTTGTTAGAATATCTTTTTATTTTCGTTACACATTTTTAAGAGTGTACTATTTTTTGTTAGAGTGGGTATCTTCTTATTTTTGTTATGAGACGCAACCTTTATTGCTACAAAACCAATTATCCATTCATAAAAATAAGTAGAGTGATTTAGGTGATTTCGTGAAATCTCGAAATCACCGCAATCGGTTCACAGGACGTCCAATCGAACTGATGCGTAATGCGCGCATCTACTGTACTTCTTCTGTCGACTCAACGCATACTGAAATTTGCAGCAGACCGCAGACCTGTATCACGAATGAGAATAATGGGCAGATATGCTGTGTCGCCAATTTGAGTAGAGCTTCCCGAATTGTGGGGAATTTAGAGTTAAGTGTTGATTCATTCAAGCTTTCAATCAGCATGGCCTACACGTTAGAACTTCATAAAGATAACATTGAAGCTGAATGCTGCTGGAGTATAGTGTTTCGAATATTCAAAGCGGAGCGGGACAATATACTCGTTCAATGGGGCATCAAGCCACAGTCTTTTCAACAAAGAAATTATTTTACGAAAATGCGTTATATTTTTACGATTTTGTCGTCACCAAATCTCTGTTTCTCAAAATGTACGTCTATTGTAGAAATTTCAGCATACTAAGCAAGAAACGTTATCTAGTATTTACTCAATATTACGGATTTCTCGAAATACATTAAAAAATGTGACCTAGATACCTAACTGCCCCAAGCTCTTTAAATATAACACCTTAAACCAGGGTTACCAGGTGCTCAGTCACGTTGATTGTCATGTTGTACTGCGCAAGTCAGCAAACAATCTGGCGTAATAAACGTTAGGAATCATCAGGTATTGCCAGATTCCCGAATACCGGGCACCATAGTACCCGTTATAGTTGTCCTTCAAAGTTGTCAAATCGCCCCTATGGCGCAAATTCGCCACACCAGGCAACTGTGCTATAAACAAACCCTGTTTATCACTACTATTTGATAGTCATATGGTAGTTGTAGCCCTATCTAGCGGTCCATGATTTCTCTCAATACTGTTGTATCTCTACTGGCAACAAGAATAGTGATAACAAAATCATTTATACAACAATATCCAAACATGAAAAATATGATTTGAACCATGAAACATTAATACAATTTTAATAGTTTGAACTTTTTCCATTTTTGGAATACTCTTATGTGGAATCCGCAGCTATTTTTCCCGAAATTTGGGTAGACTTAGATTTCTTAGAAATATGACATATTGGTATCGACAACTCTGCGAATGGGAGAAATCGCATTTGTTGAGCGCATCCGTCTAAGCGGCAGGCGCCAGCGCCCGTTCTGCCATCTCTCTTTTATCACTCTTCTACTTTACCCCGTTGTCCCTCACACTCCGACGCTGCCAGATAGGATCCTACAATCGAGTGTCTTTCACGCACCTACATACTTTTGTATATTTCCATCTCTCTTCCTCATCATAATGTATAATAATGGTTTTTCCGAAGGTGTATATGTAATATGCTATATGAACCACGCAGTTAATATACAATGTTGCACTAGACGCTGCATCAGCATTCGATAACAACTTCTCGCTAATCTGTTGCTTAGCCAGGGTCTTTGCTGTTTCTTGTAATACTTAGTCATCAATACGACTGTATAAATCTGTTATATCCTGTTGTTCAATACCCGGTGAGACACCGTAACTGTCACTTATGTAAACCTCTTGTTAAAAGTTATTTCTAAATCTAATGATTTAAGATATATATATATATATATACATGAATACTATACAATAATATTGATATCTGCCTTCAAACAACGTAGCCTTCTTCAGTATAGATATTTTCGAAGACCCAGTATGTTTCCATGCTTCCTTTTCCCTGGAAAACAATGATAAAGATTCTGGTTCAAATGCTAAATGTTAACTCAAAAAATTAAATACAATAAATTTTTCTAACATATAATTGAAAACCTAAGTGGATAAAGGTGTTGTGTCACATTTGTTGTCATTTTTGCCGTTTTCGGCCCCCCTCACATACCTATGTAACTTGTTATCAGTTATATATATTGATAATCGTTTGTAAAAAAAATTCAGTTGAAAAAGATCGCAAGTTGAGGGAGATTTGCGACTATTTCAGTTGATAAAAGAGTTATATCCTCCTTCGAGTAAATAAGTATATGCGAATAAGTTAGTTGCCTTACCAACCTTGAGGTTATCATTTGCGAGTACAGTGGGTTTCAAATGCGTGTCAAGTTGCAGTGCTGAAATTTCGGCTATTTAATGCTATAGTGTGTAAAAAGAATATGGAGAGTAGAGGTAAAAGAATTCCCAAACTATTAGCAGAAAAGAAGAAGCCCTGCAGGAATTCAGAGTGACAAGCCAATATCTGCCCGTGCGCTGGTTAAAGCGGCGACTTCCTCTCTGATGATACACATGGAGGTTATCACCGCTTGGAGACGCAACAATCTGGTACAGTTTATGGCTTCCAAAACACAGTACTGTACCTTGACTTACAAGAAGCACCCTAGCGCTCATCCGGTTTCGATATCAAAGAACCGTTTATTTCGGCTGGTCGGTGTTCAGATTAGCGAAAACAATAGCGGCAGCTGTTGGGAAAAAGCTAGGCTATTTGTTTCGGGAAAAGGAGTATTTTCTCCAGATAAACTACTCACTCTGTACAAGACCCAGATAAGACCTAGCTAGACTGCTCACATGTCTGACGTTCGACCGCCCCGATATTATTCATGCTCGATGCTGTTCAGATGAAGGCTGTCCATCCGATCGATAACTCTTCTCTAACGGACAGTCTCGGGACCCTTTCGCACCGGCGCGGCGGTAGTAGGCCGGCCGGCCAGTAGTACCGACACCACCGAGAGAACAAGGCCTAACAACTGAGCTGCGAAAAGGTTGTGATGTCACGCAGAGTAGTCCTATACATATTCTTATGAAGTTTCGAAATCTCTACTAATTAGTTGTAACTCCCTATGGGAGAAATTGCAAGATATACTGGGGCCTGCACAGCTTCAATGATGATGTGATTATTCCTTCTGATCGGCCTCAGAATGTCAAGAATACAGTTTTGATTTTACGTTCGATCTGTCACCTGGGAAAATTTCATGCAAAAATTGAATATGTGGCAAAACCGCAATCTAATACCTAAATACTGCTAGCAGCCAACTAACCTCGAATTCTGAGCTGCTATCATGTATGTTTCTTTGTAAACTTTAAATTATTGTTTTAAACTTATACTTATGTCTCGCGATTGTTTCCCTAAGTTTTCAAAATGCATTACAAGTGCTACGTTCCTAGTCGTGCCGGTAATTACGCAAAAGGTCCTAAGGTACATGTATTTTCATTCCCGGTGAATGAAAACGGGTGCAAAGGATGGCTCAACGCCATCCCTCGTAGTGATTTAGTGATTACAAAAAACACCAGAGTACCTATGCAATTTGCGCTTTGCTGAGGACAGCATTATTTGAGCATTCACCTTCCATGACGAAAGGACAGATAGGAGCGTTACTGTACCCCTATTATAACGCACTCTTAAATTGTTGATAAAGATCTCAATCTAAAAACCTACTCCCAAGAACTGTCACTCAACACAGGTAATATTAAGACTCCATTTTTATTATCTAATAAACACCACTTGGATGATGTTCTGAATACTCTTGCTCAGAATGTAGATGCTTTGAGGGAACAAGACGAATTCATAGCCATTATCAACCATGTTTATATGTGGAACAATCTACGTGAGGGAGCTTTACACAGTTCTACTAATCTCAGGCAGTCCAAAAATTGGATTAACAAAGTTATTTTAAGCTCCTCATAGCAGCCGCGGTGCCCTGGAAAGTGCAAAGTTCCACCCGCCCAGAATGTCAGCCAAAGAGGATAAAGGAAAAGTTTGGAGGTTTAACTACAGAAAAGCTACAGAACCTCAAATATCAAATAAAGTTTGTAGATGAAGCATACGGATGGTACTACGAAGGAATAATACATGAGAACTTACCAGATCCAAAAAAGAAAAGAGTGGCACTTTAAACACGTATCTTCTAATATTGTACACTTTGTTAACATTATCTGTTTCAAATAATAAAGTATTTGACACTTCTTTCCACATCTGTTGTTCTATCACAGTTTAATTTTCAGTGGATAAAGGAATATGTACATTTTTTGCGGTTGCAAAACTAATAATTTTTCAGCATCTTAAAACTAATACAATAAAAATACTTCAGCATATCCAACAAGTGATTTTAATCAGAACCATAAAATAAATGAAAAAGTTCCAAATCAAATCACATTTCCTAAATAACTCTAAACTTGCATTTTGTGACATAACACCTTTATCCACATATGTCTTCAATTATCTCTTAAGCGTAACAGCGAACAAAAAGGATATTTTAGTGGATTAAACAACACAAAAGTAGTTAAATAGTAGGGTACGCACACTAATCATTTACAGTGCATACAGTTGTAGCTTCGATTTTCTCACCTTCAGTTTCACAAATCCTCTAGTTCGTAAGACGTATCCATTTGGTGGTAGTAGACACTTTGTGACTTTGGATATATGGACCATGCCAGGCTGTAAGATTTGGAATTTTCAACTATTAGTACTTAATGATTATTACATATTGTTATAGCCTCATAAAAATATGTATATAGTTTCAACGATTTATTCTCCATTGGTATTTCGACTAAGGCACTATATTACAGTATTTCTTCCTTTTCCAAATACTGCATAATAATGACTAGACAAAGATGTATTTTCTATTGGATTGTATGAGTATGAGTACAGCACGGTGATCGCATAAGTAGCACAAAATCAGAGATGATGCTATAACTAAAGTACCTCCTCTAGGTCGAACTTGCACGCTAAGAAGCATCATCAGTAGCATTATGATAGATGAAAGCAGCAGCACTTATACTTTTAGACGCAAAGACTTAAGATGAGCAACTAGCAAAGTAATAGAATCTTAGTATGTATCGAAAAGTCCCACAACGTATAGCAGTTACGTTTACCAACCATTTTCTGACGAATTTGTATACAGTAGGCACATGCTACGTTATCTGCAAAATTAATCACTACCAACATATACCTGTCTTTTTCTGTTATTGAGCTTTGATATTAACTACGTATGACCCATTTATTTTATGAATGAAGCATTTAGTGGTTTGATAGCTAACTCTGACATTGACCTCTAACTGGTATCCGGATTTTGCTTTAGCTATACGATAATAGATTATATACAAACATAATAACAGCTATTCACCTACCTCACTAGTCGATTGCATCCTTGAAGCTGTGTTAACAGTGTCTCCAAAGAAACAATACCTAGGTAGTTTAATTCCAACAACTCCAGCTACGACCATTCCAGAATGAACACCTAGAATATACTAAAATAAAAGGGGTGGTACTTTGGCTTATATTTTTTACTGAGTTCATTTAGTAACTAATAATAAACAATTGACACACTTTTATTATCTTTATACTAGTTATTTTGCTCCGTCTTTTTGTTCCACTTACAGTATGCTGGTTATTACCAGCAAGCATGAAACAGCGTTGTACACGGTTAGTTGAGCAAACGAAATCAGTACCTACTATTAGTTAAAAAAGCGGGTACCAGTGAAGTTGCAGACTATAAAAGACTACGTGCATTGGGATTCTGTTTTGTTTCTTCATAAATAAGCCTGTTTTTTTTTCATCGACTCTATTTTATTCATTTGGATATCAATCTTTTTTTGGACGTGTTGCCCAGATCCGCGGACGCGTTACACAATAACATACTGCGTTAGCAGTTGCGTTCGCTCTCGTCCAATTTGTTACCTTAACTCAAATTTTGAAAAATATACATATATTTAAAAAGTTCACGAAAAAGAAATAAAGGAAAGGGTTTCAAAATTCATATTTCTATGAATGGATCTTTATTTCTGACAAGAACATTCACCCAATACAGGAAATACTTCAGAAACATGAAATACCTGCTGGCTGTTTCAAATTCGACCCTCACCATTGGGACCTTGGAAACTGTAAGAGGTACGAAGTCGCTTAAATGGGAGAAAAGTTGGATATTAAGGCAATCAACATAATGCCGCTTGAAAAATTTAGAAATTCAAAGTACTTCCGGAGAGAGACGGAGAAGAAACCGAATTTTCCCAAAATTGTTTTAACTTTTTCTGCCTTTACCCATTACCCATTACCATTGCCACTTTTTCTTTTATACAAGATGGTAGTATTCGAATTTCAATGTGATGTTTCGCAATTTTTCCTCCAGCATCTGCTTTATTTTTTCTCATAGTCGTCATATTGGATTTTTGTGCAGATGAATCGGATTTTTAATTCTGATTTGAAAAATCATATGTCATACATTGACATTGTCAAACCTTAGTTATTTCAGAAAAACGAAATTTCCTAGGTAGGCCTTGAAATTATCAGATTTCAATTATTTCGTAAACGAGACCAGGTACCTCAAATTACGCATAGCCACCGAGTATGGAAGACTGAGAAGCAGGTAAATCAAGCAGAGTTCAATGTACACCAAACAATAAAGGACGTTGCGAACATGTGCTATGATTTACCTGTTCTTATTTATGATTATTACTGTTATTACTGTCTAGTATATACTGTCAATAAAATATTCATGTTTTGTTCAGGTTTTGCCATTCCTTTTTAGTCCCTTATAACTTCCATCCAACAACAAGTTCATACCGGTGTGAAGTTGGCAGACAAATTTAGCGGACAATTTGCCGAAGATACCCGAATGACCAGTGGTGTCGACATCCTCTATTTATAGGCTAGGTGGCATGGTGTAAGAAAGCTTCTGAAAGGCTGGCAGATAAAAAAATATGCAAAAAAATTCATTTTCACCCCCAAAGGAATGATTCTCCAAAATCAGTTGTACCTCAAAAAATACTCTATTATAGAGACTGTTTATAGGCTAGGTGGCATGATGTGAGAAAGCTTCTGAAAGGCTGGCAGATAAAAAAATATGCTGAAAAATTCATTCTCACCCCAAGGAAATGATTCCCCAAAATCAGTTGTACCTCAAAAAAATACTCTATCATAGAGACTATTTATAGGCTAGGTGGCATGGTGTGAGAAAGCTTCTGAAAGGCTGGCAGATAACAAAATATGATAAAAAATTCATTTTCACCCCCAAGGAAATGATTCCCCAAAAACAGTTGTACCTCAAAAAATACTCTATTATAGAGACTATTGATAGGCTAGGTGGCATGGTATGCGAAAGCTTCTGAAAGGCTGGCAGATAAAAAATATGCTAAAAAATTAATTTTTACCCCCAAGGAAATGATTCCCCAAAATCAGTTGTACCTCAAAAAAATACTCTATTATAGAGACTATTTATAAGCTAGACGACAAGGAGAAATAGCAGGTAAGAAAAATAAGTAAGAATTCATGTTCACCTCCAAGGAAATAATTCCCCAGAAAATTTCTGAAATTAGTGGACCAGATCACGGTATATGGTATCTACTAAAGAAGGGGCAGCCAAATATATATATTAATGGAAACGTATTATATCTAGGTGAAGCATTTAGTTAGTTGGCTCTGCAGAGGTCACATATTTTATTACGCATTTTCTCGTTTACGTCTATATTTTTCTCCAATTCGGCTGCTGTAAGGAGACACTTCAAATGCATGTTTCATCTACACAGCCTACAAGCGAAAATACAATCTGCCTTATCTCGAGCTGTGGAACAGGCACACAAAAGGCAAATATCCGTCATAACTGAGCTGTTGCGCAGGTAACATCCACTTGAAATTTATCCTTTGTTCATCTATATCTACTTGACAGTCCAGCCTCATGTTTTTGGAAAAAATGTATTATGTAGACACCGCAGTTATAACCGTCTTTTTGTATAACGTGGTCTGGTATTTTAAAATTGAACTTGGTTATGCTTATGTTTTTATACCTCAAAAATGTTGACAGTCTTTCACAATAAGTATTTTTGAAGAGTAACTCATTACCCATGGGATCAAGAAACGTCACTAAATTTTCCGTGATAGAGAAAATCAGAAATGTGTAATGATTATTTGGAGAACTGGCATAACTATTAAATATTTGGTGAACGTAACGCTTTCAACGAAGGAAATGGGATAATTGTTGTCAGAAAATAATATTATCGATGATTTCGAAACTGAAACGATTTGGAATTTGTTTTCGCTGGATCTATTGATTGTGTGCAGGCAGTGATCTACGACGAAATTACTTAGATACTGCCTATCATCCAGTGTAGCAAAATCATCCTGAAGCAGTTCTTTAGTTGAAAAGTACAGATCCCTGTTTACTAATACTACGTAAGCTCTTTTATCCGGCAACTGTCGGTAGAAATAAATGTTTTCTACCAAACCGTTATCCATAACTTTTATTGGTTCGGGCAGTTGTCCACTTACTACAACTGATTTTGGGAAATCATTTCCTTGGGGGTGAAAATGAATTTTTTTAGCATATTTTTATCTGCCAGCCTTTCAGAAGCTTTCTCACACCATGCCACCTAGCCCATGAATTGTCTCTGTAATAGAGTATTTTATTGAGATATAAATCATTTTGGGGAATCATTTTTTTGGGGGTGAAATTTTGCTAAATTTTGTCTGCCAACTTCACACCGGTCAAGTTCATGGCTAACTAAGGAAATACATCACTGTATTCATCTCAAATACAGTCAGAAAAAATCAAATGTGATTTTGGGATAAACCTGGTATGGAACGAATGACCATCTAATAATTTCAAGGCGTACCTTCGAGATTCTGCTTTTTTGCATTAACTAAAATTTGGCAATGCCAATGTATACCGTATGATACATTTTTGGAATCAGAAAAAGCTAATCCAATATGGCGTCCATAAGAAAAAGTAAAGTTGATGGAGGACCAGAGACGAAACGCCATTTTTAAATTCTAATTATGCCATTGTTAATGTGCAAGTTATTTTGAAATCCCGCCACAAATAGTCAGGAAAAAATTATAATGGTTTTGGGAATATTTGCTTTTTTTGTCGTCTCTCTCCGGAGAATTTAGAAACTTTATAAACATTTACCTAAATGCGCAACCTTGCCCTCATTTAAGTGACTTCGTATCTTGCAGTTTCTGAGATCCCAATGGTGAGGGTCGAATTTGAAACACATTGTGTATATAGTAGTTCCTATCAATGCGGAAACAGAATTCGGAACATCTTATTCAATCTGGTTTCCACTCGTATCAATGCTAAGGAAACACTACCTATTCTAATGTCAACCTTGGCCCTAGAGGGCATCTGCATCTGCTTGACGTGCTTAGCCATGCAAAGAGAGACATCGATGATATTCTGCGCATGATTTTCGTTGCGTTCTGGGGCCCCACAGACAGCCATGTATATTTGACCCACTGTTTCAACCTGAAAAGGTTATGTTTGTATTAATAAAGAATATCTTCAAACAAATTATTTCTATGGAGGCGCTGTTTTGAGGAGTACAAAAACACTTACCATTGTTTGTCTAAGAAGTGGCCCTATATTAAGAATATTATAATCATCAAAGCAGCAGCCAGAGGGGCATATCCCCCCTCCAATGGGCGCCCACGCTTAGTATATACGACAGCTATAACCAGCCCATTCGTAGTCCACTTACGCCTAGACAAAACACAAAATGCCCAAACCGAGATTCTACAGGCCCGTATTTTCTCAATGGTCTTGGGATAATTTTACAAAATAAGGGATTATTTGTATAGAAAGAAGTGCACATACTTATCACAATTCATTATTCGCTGGAAGTACTTGAATCATCGCTCGCACGGTTAATATTATTACAAGTTCAATTTGAATATCGATCATATTGTCCAGATTCCACATCTTTGTTTCGATTGTTCCGTGACGGATATTTCCAATGGTTTGCCGTCAATTTGTTGACAGCTTCATAAAACAATTTTTTCACGACAGAAAATTTGAATGTTCCATTGTTTTAAGCCATCTAGTATTTTATATTTGCCCAAAAATAAGAGCCAATAATCATCGTTGGGCCTACTGCACACCAAACTGTAACTTTCGGGGTATGCAGGGGGTGCTCATGCAACTGGTTGGGGGTTCACTGGAGACCAATATCGACAATTTATTGACGTACCATCTAAATGAAAATGCTCAACGTTCCAACCATCTTGCAACTGAAACGGCACTTCTCCCACTATTCAGCACGCCCTTCCCCACCGATACGGGGCCAGCCCACTCGATGTAGTACCCATTCAAAAAACATGCGTTTTTCTGACGGACCCTGTATTTAGATTTGTTCTGTCTGACTAGATGGATAAGTTCTACTTTGACCATATTTCATTGAAACTAATGTTTTTTGAGAGGAGCTATTGTTGAATTTCCGCCTTTCTTGTCGGATTTTTTTCTAGTTTTCTAGTATGGTATGCAGCATTATCAAGTACAATGACGTCATTGTCATCAAGCTTTGGAAGCGTTTCTTCAAACCGTCGTTCAAATGAGATCCCGTCCATTTCTTCATGGTAGTCGGGCGCTTTCTTTGACTCAAATGCCCATAGGGTAGTGGGCACAAAGCATATTCACTGCTAATGTGACAGATAACAAATCGTTTTCCTTTTTCTGGAAATGATTACTTCATATAGTTTTGAAGAAAACAGCGTGAGCTCATAGCTTTAGTCTACTTGACACCATTTTTACAACACAAATGACGAATTGGTTAGATACACGTACCTGACGAATTCTTTAGGCCAGTGGTTAGTCCAGCTAAGAAGGCTTGTCTTGCTGATTTAATTGTAGAGTCTGTCCATACTTTGGGTTTTGTATGTCCAATATTTATCCAGTTTTTCATCCAATTAATAAATCTTCCTGCCCTGGTCGCGGTATTTCGTTATTGATTTAAATAATTTCTTCTCCATAAACTAATCTCTTGTCTGTCCATCAAAGTACACTACTTCTGTCCCATTTTCTATACTCAAAATGTCAAAAGTAGGTAAGTCTGATCACTATTAACCTCCTTCAATACTTTCTCTATGGTGGGAAGTTCCTCCCTTTCAAAAAATTGATGGACTTTGCGTCTGATGGCATTCCGATCCAACAGCTCCGTGTAATGCAGCTCCTTGTGAGGTGGAGACAATTTTTGTTTTTTTTTTTATGTTCTTTAACAATGTTGAAAATTGTTTCAGGACACAATCCTGTTTGTTCGCCACACGTCTTTCAATATCATGAATTTTCATTTCAGGATACTCTAAAATTTCGCTCTTATAAACGTTAAGGACAATTTCTTTTGCCTTAATATTCAAATGTCCCTTCTTGTTACGTTTTCGGGGAAGAGACATCACTGAAGAAGGAACATGGCTGAAGGAACCCTTGGGAGAAATATTCTCAGTTTCATCTGCTGTATACGTAGACGGGATGCTACCGTATAAACACACGCTATGTATGCACCGAATATGAACAGCAACTGGTGGAGTCAGCGTGCCGGCGATACCCCGAGTATGAGTTCGACCCTGTCGAATCCTACACTCGTTAGGAGTTTTATGGCCGAATGTCCAATAGCTATTGCAACGCTTAGGCGGCTGCCTCTTTGCCGTGCTGCATCTTTTTGTGTGTAAATGGACTACGAATAGGGTATAGTACGCAATGTTATCTCTAAGTTTGGCGAAGTTGGGCTATGAGACAACCACGCAGTATGATAGGGTTGGGTTAGGTCGATCCTAATTTTGAACCGACAAAGTCAAATACCTGGTGGTAAGAGCCTGAACATTATTGAATTCCCGGGACTTTCTCGCTATGAATCCATACGCCTTTAATGATGCGTTAACAATTATTTAGGCCCGTATCGTCAGTCGTCCCTACAATTGTAGGGTGCGTTTATGGCCTCCTTGATTGTCATACTTGTTTCTCTCCTTCAAAAATTTCTAGATTACACTTGTCCCGTGTCAGCGTCAGCGCTCTCCTATTGTGAAGATGTTTTCTTTTTAAATTGTAGGAAATTTCAGGCTGACAAAACATGATATAACTCAAAAGCAAGCACAATTTGATGCAAATAGATGTTTGTGACATAACCTCAAAATAGAGTTCTGACACGGAGAAGTAGAAAACTCCTTTCCCTCCTTCAAAAATTTCTAGATTACACTTGTCCCGTGTCAGCGTCAGCGCTCTCTTATTCTACAGATGTTTTCTTTTTAAATTGTAGGAAATTTCAAGCTGTTAAAACATGATATAACTCAAAAGCAAGCACAATTTGATGCAAATAGATGTTTGTGAGATAACCTCAAAATAGAGCGCTGACAGGGAGAAGTAGAAAACTATGACAATCAAGGAGGCCATAAAGGCGCCCTACAATTGTAGGGACGACTGACGATACGGGCCTTAGATATGCTCAACAAAAGTTGAGTCAATATGTGGCAGATTTTCTGTGTCCCGGAGAGTACCACATCGCCTATATATATGTAGTCAAAGGCAACCGGACTTTTCCTTCTGTAAACACTACATTACGCTTTTTCACATTCAAACGAAGTTTATTTACTTGACACCAAGTCTGAA